AATTTTTGTAGCGGTTTGAGCATAAAAATATTAGTATAAATTTGGCATATAAGTTGAGAAAGGTGAGGGCAAGTGGGGTTTCCCTAATGTGAAGGACAGAATCACGTTGCTCGGAAAGCACAAGTCGAGTTCGAGTCCCAACCGAGACCGAACTTTTGTCCCGAACACGCCGCCTTGTGAGACTTTCGCATCGGGTACTGTGGCGAAATGACAGTTAACAGAAAAACATTAATTGAAAACAAATTTGTGGGATCTGAGAGAGTTTATAAAAATAGGTTTTTTCGAAAAGTTTCTTACTTTCGAATTCATACTACTTTTCAGATCAATTTACTTTTGATCATTCTGATAACTTTGTTTAGGTTCATCATGTACTCGTTTCCACTGATCTCATACTACTTTTCAGATCGATTTAGTTTTGATCATTCTGATAACTTTGTTTAGGTTCATCATGTACTCGTTTCCACTGATCAACTTGTCGGCAGCTGTTTTTTGCGCAAGAATGTATGTTCATCTTTGGCTCTTGTTTGATGACAGTGTGTTCAGTAATGAGTTCCATTTCCATTGAGGGGATGACGTTAACGCATTTTAACGAATCGAGTGACCCCTAGTTTGGCGACAGGAAGCCTTTGGAACCTCCGTGTTGTGCGAGGGCGGGGATGACGTTGAAGACTTTACCCTTTATCCTTCAGCTTCGGTTGGTACGTACGAGAAATGCAGAAAGTCCGCCAAAGTTTTGCTAACCGGGAGAAGTAAGTGGGCGGAGTAGTCTTCAATGGGCGCTGCAGAGGTTGTGGGTTTTTTGTGAGCTGCCGGATTTAACAGTTAACCGCCACTGCATTTTTATGAATTTCGTTGTGCAAACAGTTCAAGTTCTTTCAAGGGAAGATCATTAGGTACATCAATCGCGAGAAGTCTCTGGTTCGTCGTCTGCTTTATTATGGATGCTGTTTACACATTGTTGCCAATCTCCTGGCCACAGCCGCTTTCCTCTATGCTGGCGCCAGGAACTACCCAGGTGGAGATGCCATAGCTCACCTTCAGGTAAACACCTTTTGTAGATATTATTGTTTTGAAAATTCAATGAAAAAGAAACAATGGGAAGTAGGTTGTTTCTGAATGTGGAGGTTGAGACTGATCGAACGGATATCACGTTGTGATTCCTACTTCCCATTATGGGTAAACCTGCTGTGCTATGATATCCTTATGCACGACTTCCTGACGGTGTTTCTCAAAAGGGCTCCGGTGATGAAAGAACAGGCTACTGACCAAGATCTAATTTTTTTCAGTGGACTCAACGAGTTGACGCTCAGAAACCGATCTCTGTTTACGTCGATAATGCTTGCGCTCAGACTGGAGTCAGCCGATTCATGCAACTTTACGATGCTTGGGAGTGAGTTGGGGGCATTTTCTGTCATCTGAATCTACATAAATCATGTGTTATGGGCCAGTTCTTCCATTGTTTACTTTCATGAAAATATACCCTAGATTGGGCCGTTCACCATCTGCAGTAGCGTAGCTAAATGAATCCTTTTTAATCATAGCGCAGGAACATTTATGGGGGCTTGTAAGACGATTTAGCATCAGCCACAAGTTTTCGATAGAGTGCGCGTAGTTACGGGTCATCAAGTAGAATCAAAGGGCATTGAGTTGGTGTTATAAGTTATGTTGACTTGGGCTCTTTCTGAAACTTGTAACAACAACGTTTTGCAGGTATAATAAGACTGAGACGCTAAAACCGTCTGACATGGAACGTTTCGATTTTCTCATGATTGGCACATATTCGGGAGATCTCAAGCAGATTGTGCAGGCAAACTACTCGACTCATCATCGGGTGATGTTTGCCGTGCCAGCATTCCATCGCTTCAACATCAAGTAGGCAGAAACTCAATTTCACGTAATCTTGACCAATCATATGTAGCCGCCGTTGCAGGAAGACGTCTACCTTTCCGTTCTACTATCCTGAAATGGTGTTTAGGGAGAAAGTGGCAGTACTGAGGAAGAAATAATTGACAGACTTCTAACTTCCGGGGTCAGATTACTCGTGTTTTCCTTTTTCGCTAATATTATGGATCTTTCATGTTTTTAAATAAGTCGTCATTTTGCTGTCTGACCTCTGATTTCTTTATCGACTGCTTATTGTTAACCTGCAGAAGTACTCGGTTCATGTTTCTTCTGCTAGTATTTAATCCTTGAAGGGTCACTGTATCTATCAGCCGTCGTCCCCTAAATTATTGATTCGCTCGGGCAGGCGCCGGTAAATTCTGCATTCGTCCCTATCGCGACCTGATTCAATTCAGTCCCTTATTAGTATGGGACACGGAACAACCCACTCTTTCGTCTAGAGCTTTCGCGGAGAAGTCCAAGTATGGGGCTGACTGCCGTACCGGTGTAACGCGTTCTTGAGTTGTAAAATGTTGTTGTTGATGCGATTCCGTATCCCGATTCTTGGCAATTTTCACTTTTTGTTTTTTTTTTTAAATATAAAAGTGTTGGTACTTGGTATGCATAAACATAGTGCTATGTGGTGTTACGCAGTCTATTGCAATTCCAAGATTAATGTGATTCTGGAAAACATTCCATAGTTGTCCTTCGCCAAATAATTGGGGTAGAAAATGTCCAATACTTTAGACTTCCTCCAGCCTACAATTAGGGATCATAGACCTTTTAAGGACTCAATGCACCCTTAGCAGTACTGGGAAAGGACATTATCTTAACTTAATACAGCCTAGGGCGGAGGTGATGTAGTGTCAAGTGGCGCGCTATCATACACGCATGGTCCAGGGTTCGGATTCCGGACCAGCATTTTTTTGGGCCAAATGAAACTCAGGGTCGGTAAATTGGTACCAAACCGGCAGTGGGTAGAAAAGCCCTGACTCTCACATTGACTGGCCAACGCAAATCATTGTATATACCTCATACCCACACACCGTTAATACACCGTTACGATTCTGATGAAGAAAGAGGTTGGTCAATGCCAAAGACTTCATCCTTCATCCTTCAGATGCTGGACGGACGTAGATGTACTGCTTTTTTGTGATAGTCACTTTTTTGCGACAAAATTTCTAAATTAGACGTTTGACTGGTTCTTGAAGACAGAGGTTTGTGGCGTTTGGAGATTTTTAAACTTTTCCAGAAATTGAAGCTTCTGCTTTCGATAAAAACTATTTGTAAAAAGCTATCGGCACTGATTTGTTGAGCAACAGTCAGCGCTGAATCGCCAGTTTGCAATTAAATTGTCTATTTCATGTAATACAGTGGCCGCTCTTTTGTTATTTTTCCCAATTTCGTTTGAATTCGTATCCGTTTCGACAAAACATCCAATCGGTCGAAGTGGATGGTGTTTTCAATTATCCACCTTCTGAATAAGCTCATTTTCTCGGAACTTAAATTACATTAGAGATTCCTGGCATGCACGATGGTGCATTGACTTCACAATTGCATCTTAGAATTCACCACATGTATTGAGTGGATCGTTGGCATCTATCTTCAACTCTTGTTTACAATTCTCAGCCACATATGTTTCGCCTCCAGAGTGCTGTATCGCATTTTACTTTCCATTTCTGTTTTTCTTTTTTTTTCTAACGTGATATACCACATCAAGATGTTTTCTTAATGATATCCTGCCTCTGTGATTTCACATTTAGGGGATACGGGCAGTAGAAACGGTTTTTTGTAATCGATTCGCCGCACACGGCTGTCGCGGACCACTTGCCTCATTATAACTGTTCTAGCGTTCTTCATACAGCTCAATCGATATGCGATCTTATTTTACGCATGATTCTACCATTAGTTCCTTTTTTACTGTATTTTTAACTGCTGCTGCAATCTGCTATATACCTTCGCGCGCGGCGTCCCTCTTCCCGCGACGCGACCATTTCGTCCCAACTGCACCACACCCCACATTTAGCCTTGGTTTGTTAGCTTCGCCTTCTTCAAGTCTTGGGATCTTACTAGGTCGCAGACCGTACTTATGCTTTCTTCATGAAGCGTTTTGCGTTCGCCTTCCGTCTTGTCATCTACAAACCTATGTGTCCAAACACGGGAAATTCAGGATGGAAATCGTTTTGTCTTGATGTTTTGTTAACTACTGTTATTTCGCCGCAAACATTATCATCATAAGTATTGGGTTGTCCGGAAAGTCTCCGCCGATTTTTGATTCATCTTTGAGTGGAAATTACTAGAAGAAGAAATCCATTGATTAAACAATATATCCTCCATTCTGTTCAGTAAGGATTCGTCATTTTCCTGTAAGTTTCAGTATGCCACTTTCATAGAAGGTTCCAAACTTGAAATCGAAAAACCCTCTCAGATACTTTTGCAGTCCTCCAGCGGATTGAACGATTTCCCATTCATAGAATCCTGCATAAACCTAAACAAGTGGTGTTCTGATGGCGCTATGTCCGGACTATAGGGGAGGGGAGGGGGAGNGGGGGAGTGTGTGGTAAGACATCCCACACAAGCTTTAGCAATTTTGACGAGTGGCCAAAAATACCTGTGGTTTGGAGGTATCCTGTTGGAAGAAAACTCCCTCACGATTGGCCATTTCGAGTCGCTTCTGGTCTATCGCTGCTTCCGATTTCTCTAGCTAACTAAAGTACCTTTCCGAAGTCATCATTCGTTTATGCGATAACAGATCATGGTAAGTGATTTCCTTGCAATTCCACCAGCAGTACGGCACAACTGGTAATTCTTTTGTTGGCATTTCTCTTTCCCAAGTCGCTTTTTAGGTGAGTGTCTACATAGGGAGATCGTGAAAGATAAGCTTGGCAAAGATAGGTATCCTTTTTCTGAAATAATTAATGAAGTAATATGGAAATTCTATTGTGCGATTAACCTCAATCTCTCTTATTCTTAAAGCAGTAACTTGGTGTATCGGTTTGTCGAATTGTCAGTTTGTCGGTCTGTCCGTCCGCAAAGCTGTTTGATTACGATAAAGGTAATGATATGGAAAGTCCAGCTCTCAGATTCTCCTCTTATATGTAAGGCAGTAACGTGGTGGGTAGGTTAATGGAGGAGAGTGAGTACTACGGAGTGAAGTGAGTAATGTGCAGTGAAGTGGTTACTTCAAAACTGTGATTTCGATTAATACTGACATCCTGCTATGTAGGTCTATACAAAAATCGGAGGTAATAATGTAGTTGAAAGACCTCGTTTTTTTCAACATTGAGCGCTGGAGATGAGGAGGTCAGCCTGTAATTGTTCTCAGTAACCTTTCGCAGCCGAGATTATACTATTTTTTTGACCTGAGCTCCAGGAGGGAAGGAGCAGCGGGGTGGATGAGTCAATTGGATATTAAACTCATAATCCATCCTAGCTTTAGGGTCGGCTACCCATCCTTCTTCGTACCTGAGTCCTCATCGTTGAAGAAAAGCGAAGCTTCCCTCCGTAACCACATCACTTTCTAACTACTCTTCAAAGGAAGGATTGAGCGGGCCTCATTCTTTGCTTTAAAATTTCCTTCACANCTTGTCAATCCGAGCCCTTTGACTGGTGCTAGATTGGAGGTGGATGAAAAGTTCTAAAAATTTTCTAGAAACCTAAAGTTTCCTAAGTGTTTGAGTGAGATTCACAAAAAGTGAGATTCATAGATATACCATGACGTTTCTGAGAAGAAGTTGAGTACGTGGAGTACTACAAAAGGAACAATCAAGATCAATCAAGATTGAAGAAATCTTCCGTGTATTAGTCTGGCTGAACCTGCGAGATCAAAGCATGAGTGAGAACTCTAAAGCGCTCTACTCACTTTGTTCGCTTGAAGTTTAGTCATTAATCACAAAGCCTTTACGGCAATTTCGGAAACTCCTTATAAGGCTGTTTCGCTAGAAAGCAGTTGTGAGTTCAGGCACATTAGGTCGCTATGTATCCCTTAACATCTCATTTGTAACAATGCGTTGAAAATGGCTACAGTGGCGTGCTTACCCACATTCCTTGAAAGCTGACTGTCTGATGCGTAACCCAGGCTTCCGTTGGGTTTAAAAACCTTAGAACAAGAACTCAGGACCTGAACCTACAGACCATAAGCTCTCCAGCATCTGGGTTACAATTAAAGTTACACTAGTTTTCAGGGTGGGCTTTTTTCCCTCACTCTCGATTCTGAGCAGAAGTGAAGAGGAGAGGGGACCCAAAAATGTTGTAGTATTACATGAAATGCTTTATTATCTCCTACTTAATGAGCTGAAATTGGCCTCGAATCAAATCAGTAGTTCATAAGGCGTTTGGTGACGCTGCATTGGAGGTTTTCCCGCGATCTGATCTAGTGTTTTTACATTACTCGTTAAGATAAGTGTTCCCCTCCCTCCCCCTCCCCATGGTTACTGACCCTTTCCTTCACAGTTCGATCGGCAAGTTTATGGCATGGTCAATATTGAACTGATTATCCACCGACATTTCGTCTTCGAGGAAGCTAAAAATATGAGGTTAGAGCGAATGGCTCGAATCTCAATCGGATATCCAACCTGTAGAGTTGATTTATTCAGTAGAAAAATGTCATGTAGCCAACACAACAGCGCCAAAGCACCGCTTTTGTTGAGAGCGTACAGTGGTTTTCTCTTGTTTGAGCACTTCGTTCTGGCGAACGTCCGTTGCGCGTGTCCGTCGAAAGTAGGTCACCCCGCCCACTTCGCGCGCGGCGCACTCCACTGAGGTCTCGAAATGACATTACATTACCACAAAGTGTGAGTGGAGCGAACGATTCGCATTTGTCTACGGTATCTTCTCTTTGGCTGACTACCGTGGAGAAAGCGCAAATCGTATGCTCCGCTTACAGCTGCGACGTCTGTCAAGTATCGCGGGCCG